TGAGCATAAACAATATCTGCAAAGTTACGAAGCTGAAAGTTCAATGCAAACGGAGATATCGTCTTTTAAAATTCTGGCAGTTTAATGCCTACAAAAACGGCTGGTAGGGACTACAACGAGTTACTTCCCGGGTTCGTAACATCACAAACCCAGATAAACCCCGCCCTCAGGAACATGCAACAAAGGGGGCGAGAAGAGGAAGAGAAAACTAGAGGTGCATGTAAAAATCTATTCATATATGAATCGCGATTCTGTCTTCTAACGATTCTAATGGATTCACAAGTTTCAAAATCAATGTTCTAAAGCAGCGGTTCTTAATACTGTTCCTCGCTTCCCCTGCTCTACACACGCTCTGAATCTCTCTCTCTCTCTCTCTCTGATTCAGCTCAGCTCCAATTCTGAGGGAGAGGCTTCATAAAAACCGGAAAAATCAGCCCGTTTCTCAGAGAAGGGACAGAGCGGTGTGGAATAAAGGTAAATTATGTGAAAAATAGTGTTTTTTTTTTTTTTTTAAAAAAAGCATTAACACATGTTAGACTGCACCCCATAAACACAATTAAGCCTAGAAAAAATCCAGTGAATCTGTCCATGGTTGGGTCAGATTTGAGGTCATGTCAACTTTTCATTTTGCAATTATGGTTGAATAACATGATGTTGCACAGTTTCTGCTTGGCTTGTGCTACACAGTGAATCTATCCCTCTTCATTGGCCTCCAAATCAAGTAGGTGCATATCTGCCAAAAGAAAAGGATGAAATATTCAATAAAATATGCATTATAAAGAAAAAAAATCACCCAACCATTATGGCCACATTACGTTATTTCATCATTCTCTATACTTAAATATCAAAACCAGTGTTAATATGCAGTCGTACAACAAATGTTACACCATATGATTTCATATGCGTTATCTGTGGAGATAAATGCTATACAAGTAAATGACCTTATGGCCGTGGCCTCCCATTGCTGAGGTTTGTGCAGGTCTGAAATGAAAGGGATCGGACTGCTGCCTGAAGGATTGAAGAGGGAGGGGGATTAAACTACAATGTCATTAAAATAGGCTGATCTCCTGTGGATCTTGGCTCTAAGACAAGCGTTTAATCCCGAACATTAAAAGCAAACATTTAGACTTAGTTTATGATGGATAAATCCTCTTGCTTTTACATAACAGTCTACTATATTGCCTCTTGCTTTTACATAACAGTCCACTATATCTGGGGTTTGCAGACTTTAGTATCAATCCCATTTTAACTCCCAGTTGTTATTTGCAAGTAGTTCTCAACACTTTGAGTAACTTATTTGGGTGTGTTTGGTTAGGGTTAGAGCTAAACTCTGGCCCTCCAGGGTTGGAGGTGATGAGCCCTGTTTTAGGGTTCAAAATGGTGCTTTTGAGTGCTCCCAATCCCTCTTTTGAGAGGTCCGCTGTTCTGGACTTCAGAGTGGTCAACATGATCTATAAACTTGTATAGCTAACAGTCCAACTGATATTAGGTCAATGGTACCATTTGGGAGAGGGTGAGAACAGTGTGTTGTAATTTCACCTGGAGTCTGGTTGGTAAGATTGTCTGCTTTCAGAATGAGGACTTTAACCCAACAGACCACAGTCTGGTACTGCAACAAGATGAAGAGCTGACCGAAGACTCTCTCGCATGTTGAATAAAATATGAGCCACTCTTGTCCTTTGAAAGACAACACGAGGTGTAGGTATTTCGGATGTCTGGGATGATGTTTAAGACAGTCTAGTTTCACAGCAAGAGCTATGAAGTGTCCTTTTTGGACTTGTCCACAACTTGCCTTAGTTCTATAACGCAGCTAACAGGCCTGTCTGGTGTCCAGTCCAGACTACTGCAGCAAACTTCCAGCTCCTCAAATAGGGATGTCTTTGGATTATCCTGCATGAAGATGTCCAATCTGAGCATGCAACTCTTAAGCCCCTCTAGAGATCCGACATTGATCACCAAGTTCTTTTTATAGAGTCCAGAGCTAAGGTTGTAATCTTGAGCAGATATATCCAGAGGTCCAGGGCAAAGTGGGGGCAGCCTGACCTGGACAGTCACTTCTTCTAGACGATGGATTACGCCGGTTAAACCCACTAAGGATACAGTGAGTGTGTTCTGTGTTGAAGAGAAGGTCAGGGTAAAGTGCAAGAAGGGATCTGAGGTCTCACTGCGAGAATTTGAAACATAGTTAGGAAATAAAGTTTCGTCCTGTAGTAGACCTTGGGTTTGAAGTGGAGAAAGGGCACAGGGTGATCGAGGGTTGGGAATAGTGAGCCTTCTGTGTTCGCTAAATGAGTAACTATCTCCAGCCACAGTGCAGTGCCGTTCCAAAACCTTCCAGGTATTTGAGAGAAGACTAAGTCTTGGGAGAGAGGGGAGAGAGCAGCGGCCACTGGCCATGGGCTTGTATAAAGAAGAGGTTGGAGAACTGAGTCGTCTCATTTGGAAGCATGACTTGTTAACCTCAGAGACAGCAGTCAACTCTTCATCTGATGGTGTAGAGCTCTCGAAAGCAGATGGATAGTCTTGAACCACTCCTTCCAGTTCCTCGTACTGTAATTTGGTAATTGTGGTTCCAGATAAAAGGGCAGGACTCAAAGCCACAGTCACGTTACCCACAGAATCAGGAGGAGGGGGTGTCCTCACAGTATTTTTGTCTTTGAGTGGTTTGTGTCTGGTCTTTAACCAACAAATGATGCATCCCAGGATAAGGGAAAAACACAGGACCACCAAGCCAGAATCTCCAGGTGGACTGAAGAGACAGAGGAGGGTTAGAACAGCATTTTAATCCGTAGCTTTCATTCCAAATGTCGGAACAACTGATAAATTGTAATCCGCAAACAAAGGAAACGATTTAATCCACATAAAGTCAGTGTTCAGTAACACAACAGTAAAAACCAGACGTGAACCTAACCAAACGTGTACTTAAATCTGAAATCGAAATAATTGAAATAATGGTTGGTTCTCAGACTGAATGGACAACTTGTCTACTGGCCTGACAAACACATCCCAAGTGTGCTTGTAGGTTACGTCATACCTTCATGTTGCTTTGTGAAGAGCACCTGCAACAGCAGCCAGAGAAACAAGAGGACGATGATTCCCTCAATCATTCCCTTACAGCCAAACAGTAGGATGGACTGCCACACAGGTTGTGCAGAGTTCTCCTCCTCTTCCTCAGTAGGCATGATGACCAAGGAACACCACAGCTCTCACTTCATCTTCACCTTCTGAAATAACATCATGCATTTCCAAAGAGGTAACTTCAAAACGGTAAACTCCTCTAGTCGAAGCAGGATCTCTCATCTGTATGCATCTCCAGGGCTGAACAGCTAAATTGCACTGGTTTCTTTCAAATGTTAGCTAGAAGTCACAACTGATTTTGTCGAGTCTTTCATTTGTCAAAATGCTTTAAGATGAACCGCAACCAATTTCCCAAGGCAAAGCAGCAAGACCAGCTGTATAATACCATCCATCAAGTTGTCTGAAGAATTTTTCTATATAATTAAAATCCAAATTGTCATTCAGTCTAAAATAAATCCCATTGATTCTCCTCTTGTGGTCTTTCCTCCCCTACATCTGTCTTTTGGTTATATCCAGAGTATTAATCCTCTCCACTGACTCCCTTGGTGAGAGACTGAGATGAGTTTAGAGGGTGGTCCGGCTCAGGACGGGGGTGGGACATGCCAGGGATGGCGAGAAGAGACGGTATACTGGTGATGGGTCAAGGGCAACTATGCCATGTGCCTATTAAAAGGGCATCAACAGAACAATCCCATCCCCCCCCCACACACAAAACAGCATCTGTCACATCCACTGCGAGTTCTGCACACAATCAAAATCTCTAGTCTGTTAATGTGAATTGCTATTTTAAGCAGATACAGAAGTAAATATGCATGCATTTCATTATTACATGCACTTCCACTCATCAATCTCATCAAAGACTTTAATAAGGATTATGAAAGCAGATCTACAAAATCAGATTCAATTAGACTGAGGTGTGGACATAACCGTTTGATTTCGAAAGTAAAAGATAGATGTACTGCCTCTTGGTGTTTTAAGAAGTTCAATTCAATTCAAGTTTATTTGTATAGCGCTTTTCACGATACAAATCGTTGCAAAGCAAGCTTTACAGAAAATTAAGGTGACATGAACTGCATCTTTCCTTAAAATTGATTTCAAAGTGCTTTATGTTTGTATCACAAAGATACTATTATGTTTTTTATTAATATTTTGAAGTAGTTCTTTTTATATTTGAATTATTTTTTTTAAATGTCAGTTTTTAAATTTTTTGTTATTTTCGTAATTTAAGTAGCTAAATGATGAGAAATGTTTCTGAGGCAACTATATATATATATATATAATAGCAAAAAAGAATCATATTTTACACACAGAGTAAGCTATTACATCATATTTTACACTCAATCTGCCCTGATCTGATGTTTCCAGCACATGTAGATTATATTATGCCAAATTACTGTATTATATTACTTAGATGTATATTTTGCTTCTGTAAATGTCTAATCTCTTATTTTTTTATTTCTAGTTTATATACTTACATACATTAGTAACTCATTTTGCACTACATGCTTAATACTTTTTATATATTATTATTATTCTTTTTCTTTCGGTTAATACATATGTGCACTATTTGTAAGCAGTCCAGCTGCAATTGCTTTGGCAATACAAATGTATAATTTTTGTCATGCCAATAAAGCACTCTTAAATTGAAATTGAAATTGTAAGACAAAACACCACAAAAGAAAAACTTGCATCAGATCAGACTTTAATTTCATTGTGTAAAGTTGCATGTGTCCATACAGTGAGGTCATCAAAGAGGATAACAAACACATGGTCTTTGGTTTTCAGCTATGCCGATATCTGAAGAATATAGAAATTAAAACTGAAGAAACTAAAAGTGTCTTTATCCCAGCAGGTCCCAGGGTCAAGCAAATGCAGGATTTCTAAACAGCTAAAATGTAAAGCTAATTGTTGACGAGGCTAAATCAGCATGAGTACGTGAACATAACCAGCCAACAAGCCTTGATTGCTACTGGAAGTGTATTGGAAGTACTGGAAGACAGTTTTTGCGATAATCAATACTTCATGGATATGAGATACTGCATTTAACTCTTCAAACAATAATCTCATCTCGCACTGCCGTATTAACGTAGTTCTGCCTTTCACTGAGGTATCTCGCTAATTCATTACCTGAGAGATTTTTTTTGCATTAAAAGACAGCAGTACTTCTGAGGTAATTCAGTGATGTACTGCAGGCATTGAACTACATCCGAGGTAAAACCTGAGTGAGGTAGCTATTTCAGTCCCACACCGACCGAGTTATATCTAGTGTCATACGTTTCAGGAGCGAGACTGCGTCGAGGTTCTGAAGTAAAAAATTTTATGAAAAAAAAAATACAATTCCTGAGAAACTCTTTCCAATATGGAAAGTTATGTGAGGTCTGAAGTTCAACAACTAAAAATACAAAATAAAAAAACATCCAATCTTCCTTTGATTTGAATGTTATCCTGCTTTTCCGTGACCTGGTTTGTTTTAAAGAACTCGTATGCGCAGCAGAGTAGAAGAATAGTACATTAATCAAGGCCCTTATATTTACGAGCCTGTACATGATCGTCCAACGCACTGAAATGATTGACATGTGCGACACAAACAGTGTGTCCACATAATTTCCTTTCAACCATACATTGTCTTGTGTCTGAGGTAGAGAAAAATCTTTCAACCAAACTGTTGCCTGTAAATGTCTAAATAAGAACAAAAAACCAAAACCTCTCCGCTGTGTAAAATGCAGTTTCAAACTCAAAACTCTTTTCAAATCATATTAATATTTCTGTATCTAGACGCTAAAAAACAACGGAAATAGAAAACAATAAAATCAAGTAAATAATTTTTTAAAAAGGAAAAAAGAATATCTGTGACCCCTTTTCTTACCAAACCAACTTTGCAACACTTGATGGGGATTGTAGCATTTTTTAAAAATCCATCAAATTAGACAGAGCAACACAGCAGTATCATAATCGGATCTGAGTCTTTTAAATTCACTGCAGATGAGGTAAATTCAGCAAACTTTAAATAAGAGAATTAATAGACAGCAAAAAAGTGAAAAAGTGTCAACCACAACCTCACAAATGTGACTTTGGCAGAAGTAGATTTGATCATGCCATGATTGCTTCGCAGATCTCTGTGAGTGAATGACTGTGGGTGCGGAAAGGCATGATTACACGATCACCGACCGAAGTGTTTCCACTCACGATAGCACTGAGATTAAGACAGCTGAGGTATTCTGTTGAATCAAACATCTCTAAAAACCTTCTCAGTCCTGAGAAAACATCTTGTAGAAAAGAGCAGGTGGGGTCCGTGATGAGCTTTAACAGCTGATGAGTTTGTAAAAGTGTATGTGTGTGGTCCTCTCTTCACTGGAAGGAGAAAACACAGCTGTGGTTTGTGCGGGAGGCAGACTGGGATTTGCTATGTCGCCTCTAGAGGGCAGAACGGCTCCCGCCGCTCGGAGGAAAGACTGTAGTTTGGGTTGGACTGACTGGCTGTTTTGTAGGTGGAGCTGGTGACCGTTAGGGTGACCCTCCTGTGGCCGGTTCCACAGAGTCAGAGCCCTTTGAGGAGGAAGAGGAGGAGGAAGAGGGGATACGGGGACTGAGGGTAGAGGTCTGGCCTGCGAACATGGCTGTGACAGCGGTGGGAACAGCTCCAGACTTCTGAGCATATAAGGATCCTGTAAACAGCATTAAAAAAATGCATTCAGTAATTTACTTCACACCGAAATATTTCTGTATTATACACTATTGTTCAAAAGTTTTATTTTGAGAAATTGTTCAATTTAATGCAACCTTGCTGAATAAAAGTATTAAAATGACTATAAATAATGTTACAAAAACTTTTTTAGAACGTGAAAAGAATCCTGAATTTTTTTTTTATCATGGTTTCCACAAAATTGGAAACAAAATTCCAAAAAATATTAAGCTGTACATGTTTTGAACATAAATATCAAATGTTTTCAGCAGCAAATGAGCATTTCTGAAGGATCATGTGACACTAAAGACTTTTTTGCCATCACAAGAATAAATGACATTTTTAAATATATTAACATGGAAAACAGATATTTCAAAATAATATCCCACAATATTACATTTTTCCTGTATTTTGGTCAAATGATGAGAATTAAAGCCCAAGATTTCTTTCAAAAACATTTTTAAAAAATCTCACAGATTTTTTGAACTGTTGGGGAAAAAAAAAGGTAATAATTATCTTATTGCAATCTATCATAGAGCAAACAATATTCATAGTGTGCAATGCCAAGTTAAATAGCTAGATTAGAAAACTAGAACAGAAATTAAACGGGAAAACCCTAAAATTTAGGACAGCCTTAAATCCCAAAAGGTAAAATTTTCATAACATATGCTACATAAAGCTCTTTTATTAGTATTTGTATTTATTATTACAGTATTACAATATAATACTTTTATGATCTGGAATACTTGTAGGCTTATTGGGTGTGTGTTCTGGGATGTTCTCAAATACTCAAACAAACAGGGCAAATATAAAAAAAACTAACAAAAAAACAAAACAAATATGAACAAATGAATTATATAAATAAATTAAAATAAAATACCAGTGTTGAAATATTTCATTTGTTAACAGAGTATTGCTTGCATACAATTCAAATAACATTTTAAGATAGATTTTTTTCTAGGAATAAAAAGGATTTAAGGATTTTTTTTTAATAAACCCGACAGGTTTTAGGGACTGTTGCAGAGGCAACTGGAAAAGGGGTCTTGGAGTAACCTGAGGTTAAGTACATTAGACAATATTGGACAATCCCACACGTGCACAAATACAATAATACACACCTGAGTAAATAATCCCATTGACCTCCACAGACACATTAATGCTAGCAGAGCCATTAGAAGAGATGCTGAGAGACAGGTCCTGTTTGTCCTCTGAAAACAAGATCCAAACGTCAATCACTTTCTAAGTCACTGTACATGTTTTGAATAAAAACGTCACAGAACTCACCGCGGGTGTTGGTGTTGTTCATCCGCAGGTTGGCGGGGTTCACCTGGGATGCCATGGCCAGCAGGTTTTGTTGGAAAGCCTGCTGCAATAGCCTCTGCTGCTCCTCCGCCAGACGCGCCATCTTCCTCTCGGGCACCTCCAGCGCGCCGGTCTCCAGCCTCTCCCTCAGCTGCTCCAGGGTGGCGGCCCGTGCCAGCTGCTGCTGATGCCCGAGAGCCAGTGCTAGGGGGAGTCGACCCGGCAACATGGAGGCTGGACCGTCCTCTGGGACTGAGGAGAACAACAAAATGCTTGAAATCTGTTACTGTATCACATGCATAATGTTATTCATGACAGTACAATCCCTCACATATTCTGTTGCTTCACACCAACTTGAAACATATTGTACTTCCATATTTAAATGTATTTAAACAGGTTATTTAATGGGTCTGGGTAGGGAGTGTAGGGATGTGATTTATCGCCTCATGAAAAGTAGGCATTTCAATGCCACAGTTCCTGCTCACTTTTATAGTGGCCTTTAGTATTTTTTAGAAGTATTTTTCTCATAGGAATTTTAAAAAAGTCTTCTTTAAAGGGGTCATATGATGCGATTTCAATTTTTCCTTTCTCTTTGGAGTGTTACAAGCTCTTGGTGCATAAAGAAGATCTGTAAAGTTGCAAAGACTAAAGTCTCAAATCCAAAGAGATATTCTTTATAAAAGTTAAGAGTCAGCCACGCCCCCCTAAAACGGCTCGTTCTAACACGCCGCATTGGATAGCTGGCCAATCAGAGCACACCTCGTTTTTCAGACCGATGAGTTTTGTAAAAATCGACGCGTTTCAGAAAGGCGGGGCATAGAGGAGAAACAATAATGTACAGTATGTGGAAAATAATGTGTTTTTTGAACCTTAAACCGCATAAACACATTTCATTACACCAAATACACAAAATAATGTTCTTTTTAGCAACATCATATGACCCCTTTAATGAGTTATAAGCCATGAATCAAACCAACCAGCTAACAAGGTAAATATCAACATTACAAACTTTGATTTGAAGCAAAATGTATTTGAAAATTGAACAAAAAGGCAAAAGGTACAAGACTGACTTAATGGCTTTAGTGAGGGAAAGAACTACAATCCCATGAAGCACTGCAAATGACAATCAAATAAAAAAAATTATGTAGAAATATAGAACTACTGATTCAAAGTTGTTAGTAGATAGACAGATTTCTTGTTTCGATTCTCTGATTGGAGAGTTCACTTCAGAATCATGGGTAATGTAGTTTTTCCACCAGGAATTCAACTAAAATAATAAAGGCTGATACCTTCAACAGAAGCATATACCATCGATAAACAACTTTGTAGCTCCCATTAGGTCCGTCTTTAAAGGTTAAGTTATTGTTAAAAAATCAGTTCCCCTATGGGGAAAATTACTCGGATTTTTACTTCTGGAACACTATTTAGTCTATTGAGGCAGACCTGAATGCTAGTATGCCAAAATGGGTTAGTATGCCAAGCAAGATATTTTGACAAACATAGTTCCCTGTATTACACATCAGGATAAGCGATTCATTTACTTCGGCCCCTGAGGTTTGTCGCTGTCAGTAGACCCTCACAGGAAAATGCAGTTTCTTAATGGCTTTTACACTCTGAGTTTCCTCCATCAGTCCAGGAAACTTGCTCCATTTCCTACACACACTTCCTGCCTTTAATGAAATGTATTTATTTCAACAGCAAAACCAATTAAATGTAAACTTCACTGTATGGCTAGAATATTTTTAGTAAGTATGTTTCCATATGCCAGAGGAATTTTTTTTAGCAAATATTTAGAAAATACTCAGATGTAAATAAACATACGCACGTTCATAAGACGTAAAACGCACATAAACATAAGCATTACAGCACTGCACGTGCACAACATTTTTTTTAAATACAACTGATCTGCTAAATTAATAAATGTAAACAGTCAGATTCAAGCGTTTACGTGCTATTTTTTTTTCTATTGACCAGAGCTGAACCCCAATTCGATCGGATTGTTAAATACATTATATGATAATTATATATAAAAATGACACATCATGTAAATATATATTTATTTACTCACACATACATGTGTATATAAAACAAACAATTATAAATATATAAATTTATCATTTAAATTATATGTAATTTGTCATGTAAATATATATATCTACACACACACGTGTATTGTATAATTAAGAAATATAGGCATATATGTGTGTATATATGTATTCCTTCCTATTATATATATATATATATATATATATATGATAAAATAAACACTTTTATCCCACAGCTACCTTTGAACTGAGGGTTTAGTTGCCATGGAAATGGCGAAATATCCTTCTATTATATATATATATATATATATATATATATATATATATATGATAAAATATTAAGAAATATATACACGCATACATAATTATCTACATTAAAAATAAATATATATATAAAATACATAAATGAAGAAATATATACACATTCATATACATACGCATATTAGGGTTGTGACGGTGAGGAAATTTTCCCACCGGTTAATCGACGTGTGACAACACCGGTAATACCGGTATCAACGCGGGGGCGGGGCGTTCCCTCTTTTCCTCGCTTTCCTTCGCTTTTAAATAGCTGCATTTTACTTTCACTTTTGAATTAGCGGCAGTTCGGCGTCAATTACTTGAAAGCAACAACAAAATACAATGTCAAACTCACTTTAGCGTATATATAAAACATAGAACTTTCCTTAACAAAACAAATAAAAATACACCATGTGATAGGGCAAGCTATGCCTAATATAAAATAACAAATAACTTGCATAAAGTTTAAATAGGTATACAAAACTGGAAATA